ACGGACTAATTCGGCAATACCGACTGAAACACAAGCGATGGGATTATCCCCGAGCGCGATGAAAATAGTGCCGAGCCAGCCAATTCACAAGCGGATACTTGTGGCTCGTCACGTCAGCACGACACAGCTGGAGGTGAGCGACAAACACCCGCACACACATGTACAGAGGCAGGCTGTGTGCGTCAGCAGTCCAAAGCTGTAATTGGACGTGACAGACGGGCAGTAATTCGATGCACCAGAATCAACAAGTACTGGTCTGACCCCGCCTAACAGACACATGCACGCACGCACACACTCGCTCTCACACACCCCACTGAGATGGGGCTGCCACCGCTGGACCCCTGAGTGAAACCTGACCAGAAAGCTGTGTCTGCCTCTGTGTGTGTGTGTGTGTGTGTGCAGTGTCTGTCTGTGTCGGTGCATATCTGTGTGTTATGTGAGTTTTATTAGTAACAAGAGAATATTTCTGGCTTTCAAGAACACAAAGAATGGAAAAAAAGGGCAAAAGAGATAGAGAGATACAGAGTGTGGGGAGAAATGGAAAGATAATTGCCTCTGCAGCACCAATCATCACCTAATGCCCTGGGGAAGGATCATTATGGAGTCTGGCCCTTTCTGGTTTGATGGAGGGATTATAATCACTAAAATAAACGAGCAGAGAGTGAGAGAATGCACATTTCCAGCAGCTGTGTATCTGTGATCCTCGGCTTCGCGCATACACATGCACACGGGCACACAAACCGCACAAACATCTGTCTCTGTCAAAAAAGTTAAGTGTGCAGCATCAACCTCGATGTGTCCTATTTCATGATTTAAAAAATGTTAAGCATGTGTGCATGGCCAGAAGCTTCATATACAGTTTCAGTCAAATGCACCGACTGTGGGAACAAGCTCAGAGTGAATGAAAATCCTGAAATGTGTCCATCGTCTTTAACTGTCCCCAGATTTAAAATTAGAGTGTCTTTAATCCTCGTGTCTCTAAATAGATGAGTGGGGGGGTATTGAGTGTCGCTGATGCCTCTCCGTTACAGATAAAAGAGAAATAAAAGGCTTGTGTGAAGGCTTGAAGTGAACATTTCCGATGTGTGTTTTCTCTGTGTTTGTGAAGTGCAGCGTGGCGCGATGGAGACGATGGAGCAGAGAGATGCTATCACTGCGTCCCACATAAACTCTCCTGGATGGACGGGGGGAGAGGGGAGCGGCGAGGGGAAGGCCCTGTTTGTTTGTGTTTACCCTTGGAGCGTGCTGTGTTCCTGATGGAGCCAGAGATAAATGAAGAAAGAGAGAGAGCAGGGGAAAGAAAGTGAGATAAAGGCTACAACGCAACCTGACTGCTGAGTCAACACAATATACAGAACGTGTACTGTACATCAGCTAGGATATGCAGCGGTCAATCTAACTCTCATGTAATCTTACTTTTGGATGCTTTATAGTATTGCTGCTAATCTTTTTAATGCACTTACCGGCCACTTTATTAGGTACACCTGTTCAACTACTCGATAGCGCAAATTGCTAATCAGCAAATCACGTGGCAGCAACTAAATGCATTTAGGCATGTAGACATGGTCAAGACGACCTGCTGAAGCTCAAACCGAGCATCAGAATGGGAAGAAAGGCGATTTAAGTGACTTTGAATGTGGCGTGGTTGTTGGTGCCTGACGGGCTGGTCTGAGTATTTCAGAAACTGCTGATCTACTGGGGTTTTCACCAGAGGCGATTGCTCTGAGACAACAAGGCAGGCTGAACTTCCCCTAAAATTTCATAGAAGAAATGGTCAAACATGTACTATTGAATTTACATTAAAATAAGAATTTACATTGTATTAAACATGTGCTAGGGTGCGTTCAACATCATGACTTCGTCAGCTGTTTATCACCAGATTTCAAACGCGACCTCCCTGTCATACATTCTTGTGTCAGCGTGGTGGACACGGAGCCTCCAAGCATTCCTATGAGACAGTGCTGAGCAGGTTTTTTTCATACAGCAAAGCGAGATGGTCATTGGATAAATGCGACAAAATCGTCACTTCCAGGGAGGCTCAGCTTCCCTGGGACCTAATGGAGCGGTAGGCGGGAGAGGACGCTCGGTGTATGCATGATGATTGGAGGAATTGTCTAAAAGGCTGAACCCCTTTGTGACTGACAGCGCTTCGCATTTTGAGCTCAGTCCCATGCGGATATTTGCGAGTGGAGTCTTCTGATAGAGTGCCGCCCAGAGTTCCTTATTTCCATAGCTCATTTTCACCGTTTGTACAGTATAGTTGAAGTGTTAAAACCCATCTGAAAATCTTTGAGGTGTGTTTTGCTGTAGTTCTATGTCATGAGTGTGGTAGAAAAACGGCTTCAATTAAATGTTCCTTTTATAAGTTAGTGCCTCGCTACAATATGACAAATTTTATGATGTAAACTAAAAGTGAGCTTCCCCTGTTTGAAAGACAAGCAGCCGTCACTGGTTTTCATGCACAACCATCTCTAGGGTTTACAGAGTATGGTCCGAAAAAGAGAAAATATACGTTAGCATTTAGCTCAAAGCACAACCATGCCACATGCTTTCAGCTAAATGCTAACGTAAAGTTGAACTTGAGCTTGAATTTGTGCATTTGCTCGGACAATCTTATTATCGCTGATCAGTATCTTATAATGCAGTGGAAACCTCTTATAGTGATTTGTGTGGGTCAAATTAATCACTTTAAGCTTATGTATATTAATTTTTTTTTCGTTGTTTCTCATGCAGATTACCATCTAACTGACATTTGTGTATTACATGAATATAATGAAATGAAACAGACAGCTTTGCTACCAAGCTCAAGAAGGCATCATGTGACCGGGCACTCCGGGCAATCCACTTTAAGAGGAAGCTTCGACCGTGCGCATTCACTCTCTGTGTTCATCATTAGCAGCCATGACTGTTTAATTCTCATTGAATAAACTACACAAGGTAGTCTGAGGGGCACCAAGTTTTGCTGCTGCATCTCGTTTCGGCTAGTTTTTGGCAGCTTGTCATAAGCTTTCAGGAGACTATTGTTGTCATTGAGAGAAACTGACTTCTGTTCCCGTCATGATTTCAGTGTGCACACAGCACTGGCCCCAAGTAGCCAACCGAAAGCAGACAGGTGAACGCTAGGCAAAGTATCATGGCAGTAAAGTTTAAAAAACGGGAATTACAATCGTTTTAAATTTTTGGTAACACTTTACTTGAAGGTATTGACATAAGGATGACATGACACTGTCATAACTATGACATGACAAGGTCATGAACCTGTCATAAACATTATGTACATGTCATAAATGTGTATGACTGCTGTCATTAAGTGTCATTCGGTTTTTGTAACGACAAGTTGACATTGTTTGGGTTGTCTTGATTATGACAACTTGACATTAATTAAAGTGACATTACCAGAAGTTGTCTTTGTCATGACAAGTTGACATTAAATTTGTTTGGGATGTCCTTATAATGACAACTTGACATTAATCAAAGTGACATTACCAGAAGTTGTCTTTGTCATGACAAGTTGACATTAAATTTGTTTGGGATGTCCTTATAATGACAAGTTGACATTAACCAGGATGACATTACCAGAAGATGTCTTTGTCATAGCAACTTGACATTAACAAGAAATGCACCTCTTTTTGTGTTTATGACAAGATGACATAATGATTATTATTGTCATGACAAAGACAACTTCTGGTAATGTCACTTTAATTAATGTCAAGTTGTCATAATCAAGACAACCCAAACAATGTCAACTTGTCATTACAAAAGCTGAATGACACTTAATGACATGTATATAATGTTCATGACAAGTTCATGACCGTGTCATGTCATAGTTATGACAGTGTCATGTCACCCTTATGTAGATACGTTCAAGTAAAGTGTTACCAATTTTTTTTTCCATGTGCTGTCGTGTATGAAAAGACCAACTGTAAACAGACTGCTTGATTACTATAAGAAAATTTTTCAAATAGCATTTATATAGGAATGAGTCTGTCTCAAGTTTTGTGATCCATATAAGCGGCGGATCACTGTAAGCGTGATCACTATAAGCGGTTTCCACTGTACATGGAATATATATAGCTACAAAAAAATTGCAACTTTTCCATTTTGCTCTTTTTGTGGACGTCATCTATCTCCCTGACATCCATCCTACTACTCCCTTGCACTTGTCCCTGTACCTCACTCTTTCTTGCTGGCACTCTCCTCATGTCTCTTTCCAGGTTGTAGCAATATTAATGTGTACTACTCAGACACTGTTTAGAGGAGGAAATAGGATGTTGGATGCTGCCTGCCAGCACACACAGAAATAACAAAATAGCTCTACCAAAAACAGGCTGAGAGCAGCTCTGGTTCTTTTTGGCAGAGAGGTACAGAGAGGTGTACTCTACTTCATCGGTCCCGTGGGAATAACCTGGCATGGCCGCACTCTGCATATTAACACCTCGGCATAGCTCTGCAGGCTAGCATACAAGCATGCACACACACATATACACAGTCAAGCAAACAGCTGACACTCGTGTTGACACCTAAAAAGAACCATACAAATTACATAAAAAAAATGGAAAATCAAGATTCTCTCTCCTGCCTCACTAATCAGTTCTTTACTATTCCCATCTGAGCCATTATGCCGGTGCTCCTGGCTGGCGTATGGAGCTGATTTTTGCAGGACTAAATGCCTGTCTCTTCCACTTAGGACTGACTCTGAGATGCACTGAGGGAGGGAGGGAGGGCGGGCAGGAGGCATGAAGGGCTGAAACAGGGCTCTCTCAAAAAAGCTGAATTATACAGAAAGGCCTGATCTACAGAGAGACAGTGGAAGGGGAAAGGATGATACTTTCTTAAGAGCAGCTTGCGAAAGAGGTGAGGAGGACAGAAGAGGAGAGAAGAGGGCAGGATAGATGAGTACAGTAAGTGCCGTTCTGCACACTGTGGGATACAGAGGTGACAAAGACCTGAACTAGAGGATGTACACGTGCACACACACACACACACACACATATTCAAACCTGCGATAATGAGTGTGGATGTCCATCAGTGAGGGCATCTTTCCTCATCTCGCCCGCCACCGTCTGCTTCTGGATGTTAGGAGACTTGATTTGCCTTCAGATAGAGAAAGACGGGTGACAACAGATAAAGTGATGTTCAATACAAACCATGGGATACAAAAAGATTTATATCTCACACAATATGAGCATGTATGTTAAGATGTATACACACACACACCATATACACAATACACAATGACCCAAGTTTGCTTTAAATAAACATTTCTAAACCAACTGTTTGAATTTGTGGTGACATCCAAACTGTAAGAGTTATTACCCGTAGTTAGTTTAGTTTTTTTAAAGTTAAAACACTGCCTGCATGTTGCATCACACAGGTAAATGGTAGGGTTACTCTGTGTACAGTAAAGCAGGTAAGCACTGTGCATTTGTCTTGTCTAAGTAACACGGCAGACTGGGACAAGACAAGACTTGACCGATGGAGGTGAGACACTGCTGTGTAAATCTCTCAACAACAAAACACACAAACAGATGCAGACAGAAGATGTGAGCACATGCACACACTCAAACACACACACATTCTCAAAAATAGAAGTGCAAGAGGTAAGTCCACAGACGAGAAGACGGGATGACACAGATACACACACAGGGGCATGTGTTTTTAGGAAAGGTATAAGTCTGCAGACACTGCCAGAAACATGCACACAGGATAATAAATCTGCTGTCAGTGTTGTGCCTTGCTGAAGTCTTGATTACAGAGCTCAACCGTGTATTAACCAGCCAGGATGGCTGTGTATTTACCTCCACACAAAGACCTGAGTCTTGTCATTTGCTGAACTTACTTAGCCAGAGGACTATGGCACGCACAGGTGCACACACACACACACACACACACACACACACACACACATACACACACATACACCCAAGCATATAAAAATATATAGAGAAATATGCATGAACACACGCAAACACTCACGGGTCCCATGTGTAGGACTTACGAGCATCTATTGGCAGAAATGTAATATAATATCTATAACTATGTTTTAATCAGTTTATAATAACCTGAAAATAAGAGTCGAGTTTTTGTTACCTTAGAGTAAGTCGTTTGTGGAAGAGTCCACCATATTGTTTCTACAGTAGCCCAGAACGGACAAATCAAACATTGGCTCTAGATAGGGCCATTCAGGTTTTTGACATTCACTGTAGTTCTCTTAAGCCCCGTTTCCACCAAACACTTACACTATGGTACCTTTGGAACCGACAGTAACCCTTCAGACATGGTTCCTAGACCCTAGTGTTTCCACTGCAAACAGTGCCCTTAAATGTGGGCGGGGTTGTTGTCACTCACTGCTCCGTCCAGCACTCACAGTATTTTCTTATTATCAGGGACATAGCTGGAAGTCTGCACCTTGTTTATCGTCCACAGAATGAGGCTGCACACAGACATTTTCAGAAGAAAATAAAACAACGCAATGCTTTCTTGTTCTCTGAGTGAGGATTACAATATATGCAGTTCACATAACTCGGCTGAAATTAATATTCAAAAACTCTTAAAGATCCACTCATTACTAAAAGTGTATGACTTAAAGGGAAATTTCTGTTTATTTCAACCTGTCTCCTATCGTCCTAAATTTGTTTCAAGTCACTAGTGACATAGAAATAATAGTTAGCATGTTAGCCGTTAGCCTAGATACAGCCGTAGCGTCAGACCTGTTAAAACTTAATTGAACAGGCATCCTTTCAAGTGCAAAGTTAGTCCACTAACTCACTAACCATGGCTGCTGGAAGGCTTTAGCTCTGGAGATCGGTGGTGCAAAGTTACCTGTGAATGCTGTACCCCAATGGCCACAGAAGAGGAATACCTCTGTTGCAAGGAATGGGACCGGTTGCAGCCTTAGCTAAATGGTAAACAACAAACATGGCATCACACCGGTAAGGTAAGACAACACGTTTACATGTCGTTTTCTATATGTTCTCTGACATTTATCCTAACAATATGAGGCGGTCTTTGTGGAGAAAAAGCTTGTTTAGTGGACTAACTTTGCACTTGAAAGGATGCCCGTTCAATTAAGTTTTAACAGGTCTGACGCTACGGCTGTATCTAGGCTAACGGCTAACATGCTAACTATTATTTCTATGTCACTAGTGACTTGAAACAAATTTAGGACGATAGGAGAGAGGTTGAAATAAACAGAAATTTCCCTTTAAAGAAATGGTTAAAGGATGGAATTTTTAAGGCATTGAGTAACATTACAAGTTAATGTTCCACCTTAAACGTTGCCGGCAGTCGGCCCAGTGAATAAAGTTATTTTTTCTCAGACTCCAGCTGCTGCAAGAGGCAACAAAACATCCTTTTTATAGTTAAAGGTTACTAATAAACTCTCCACAGTATGAACAGTGGTTACATGAGCCTCCAAACCAGCCACAACTCAGCCCTGAGCAGAGTGACCGTCCTCTATTGACCAATCAACAGACTGCAGTGTTCACAGCTCCACCTTTTAGTACCAGATCTGTGTGCTAGGTACCCCAACAGAGGGGGGGACCAAAAATGGGGGCAGTATGAAACGGTTCCATTGGTACCAGCGTGGCTTTACATGGTTGCCACGTGGAAGAAGTTTCAGTTCTGCAACCTCAACGCTAGATGCCACTAAACCCTACACACTAGACCTTTAATACACTCACTGGTGAAACTAAGTAAACCCATAAAGCCCATACACTAAAGGACACACACAGCTGCACCTATGTACAATCTATATTTTCTCACAAACACTCTCAAAATAGAATCAAAACACACTCTCTGAGCTCCCAGTTTGGCTGTCACCCTTTAAAAAAAAAAAAAAAAGCACAGAGAGTGTGAGAAAGCTGACAGTGACAAATTAGCGCTTAAGAGAACCCTCCAACACTGTAAACAGGCTGTGACCAAGCAGCTGCTAAAACGCGCCACATTATTATTCCATATCCACACGGGTGTGTTTACTCTGGGCAAAACATACAAGCTGCCCCCACATATGGGCAAATATTTGCTGTCACAGCCCTTAGAATGGTGTGTGTGTGTGTGTGTGTGTCTGTGTGTGTGTGTGTCAGCTTTTATGAGTGATGTTTGTGTGCAATTAATGTGAAATATACCTAACAAGATGATGAATAAATTTAATACGCACTCACCTTGCTGCACAAACACACGACATAGTTCCTTTCAAAAGCTTTGAGGGAGTGTTTGTTATAATAAGAGAAGACAGAGCAGGAGGGAAGAACTTCATATTTCAGTATTTATATCTGATATTACTCCCCTTGAACAAAAACACAGCTTTGGTCAGTTTATTAGGCCTGTCGTTTCATCTCTGGCTCACTCCTTTTTTTCCTTTTTTAATCTCCTTGCTGATGAAGTTGCACATTTTTTATCATTTTTACGAGTGGGTTTTGAAAAGAGCTGCGTAAATAAAGATTATCATTCAATTCTGTTACCATTATGAATGAAGTGCATGTGCACGCATATTTACATAGCGAGGAGGAGGAGGAGGAGAGGAGGAGGAGAAGAATCTGTTTATACTCCGATCTTTGATGTCTGTGTGTGTTTTTATAAGCTCAGAGGCATGTCCATGGAGAACAAACCTGCCATAGGGGCATATCAGCTATCACACACAGCCGCCACTGGCACAGGTGTATAAACCAGCAGACACGCTTGTCCCTTTTGATAGCTGATATACCCCCATCGACCCATCAGTGCGAAATGAAGTAAGTGTTTTGACCAATCTGAAGGCAAATGAGGGCACAGAGAGTGTGAATAAGGAGCGGACGGGCTGGGCTGCATGTGAATGGAAAATATGAAGGAGAGCTGTGATTTGTTGAGTACCGAAATGAGTAAATTCATGGGGGGAAAATAGTATTTTATTGCTGTGACATTTCTTAGAAAGATGAAGTGAGAGAGACAGAGAAAGAGAGAGGGAGAGAGAGCACTGTGAATGAATCCAGCCATTTCCTAAACTGAGCGTAATAAGTAATTTTTCACATTTCCTCTTGCTTCTTTCACCTGGAGCATTCTGCACATCCGTCTTCCAACATAAGCAGCTCCGCTTTATTTCTGGCTGTCAAAGTACAGCTCAGTTTTTTTTTCTTTTATATATCACTATGCATATTTCTTTTTTTTATCTCATTCACTTTCTTTTTCCATTATCCTTTTACAATGCTTTTCCTCTTCTTGTTTGTGTCTCACTTTTTGTCTCAGATAACTCATTTCGATGAGCGCTGAGAAAAACTAAAATATGAATAATCCTCTAACCTTCCTCAGGGGATTCTGCTGATGTGCTCTTGAGCAACGCACAAAAGCCACATACATAACCCATATGGACATGTACCCATGCCATAGATCTGTTTTGCGTTTCCACCGCAGACACGACTCTTGCTATGTAGCCAGAGTTGTTACCAGATGGTAATAGCCCTGTCAATGCTTCATACATCCAGCTCTTGCTGTATTTCCTCTGCACCCATTATGTACAGGAATGTCTGCACCTTGCTGATTGTCTATGGAATGGGGTTGTGTGACATTTTCAGCACAAAAAAAGAAGAGGCTGGAGTGTAGTGCTGCCGAAGCACACCGGGGCGCACCGTAACGACCCTCTGCCTCTGGACTGAGCAGCCGCGGCTTCCCTCCCATGTCACTGTTTATGTCACACACTGAGCTACACATTTTGATACTTGCTCACGCCCCCCATAGAATGTGCCAGGGCTGACGTCAAAACCCAGAAGTTTAGCATCGTGCTGGTTCCCGGAAGAGAAAGTGAATGGGATTTTTGCATTGCGTTTTGGATTATGTCAGAAAATAAGCTCTGTGGCTAACACAAGTTTATGATACTTACAGATTTTGTTAAGCAAGATAATCTTCACATATAAACACCTTTCATACCGCATTTGAAGCTTAAATACGATCGCCAGAAGTAAAAAGCTAACGTTAGGCTTTAACGGACTACATGACTACTCCACGGTGGCATGACTCTTGATGTCACCGCCACTAAGCTTTCAACTGATTTCGGACGCTTTATTTTAAAAACATTGTATAATGGGGAAATCGGACTAAATAAGAAGCTGTAATAGCGGACT